ACTAAAATTAACAACAAAACTGCCACATGTTCTACTTGCAATAAAGTTAATCAAGCGTGTCAGAGTGATACGGAATGCTGTGATATGAAATGTGAAAATTTTCGTTTAGACGGTACTAAAAAGGCCCTGAGATGCTGCAAAAAAGATGGAGATTTCTGTACATCAGATACAGAATGTTGTCCGGATTCGTTTGGTTATCAAAGATGTATTAATTTTTACAGTACAAATAAAACGTGTACATCATAAATCATTTCATCGACTTGGAGCAAGAATACGTACTGTGGAACATATGTCTCGTTTGCATTTTATCAGCTTATATCTAGTGTTTTGCTTTACTTTACTTTACTTGTATTGTTACTTTATGCATTTATTTAATGTATTTAATAAACACTGTTGAATACGAGGCCTGTACGATTAGAAAAAGTTGCATTTTCTCTGATGGATCACTCCGATTTTTTCGTAGAACGAAACTCTTTTTTTCTGAAATCCAAACTTGCAAACAAACGATTAATCTGCTCCATGAAACGTAACTTTAAATGTTTCTATGAGAGATACCGAAAGGCTTTGCGAATTCCTTTGAGTTTTGTTCCTGATTTTATTCGAAAGCTCGTTGTCGGAGTCTTTTACTACGATTTGTATTAGGGGTACTACCGCGAACAACATCAAACCTAAGTTAAGCTATGTGGTGAATAGTCATTATGTGATACAGTTTCGCATCATAAAAATATACTGACATACTGCCAAAAATACCCAAATGTGTACTATAAAACATCCATGAACGAGTCTGGGTCCAGTTCCCGGAAATGTCATGTCACGGTTTAAACTACATCCAGTAAAACGGCGTAACATATAAGGATGTATTGAGCATCTTCTTCTATTTTGTTTCTCTGCTCTTTCCGCTTCTGCTTCTTCTCAATGTACCATTTCCATGTTTCGTACGGAGCCCGATTTGTTCTTTTTTTTAAACTTGTTCTTGTTTATTAAAAAATAGTTGTATTTAACTTCAACAAACAAACGCAGCTATGCTTGCAGACAAGTCTACGTTGCATAGTGCATAAAACGCTCAACCCAAAACTTCCGTAACTATTTTTTGAAATAAAACTAACCTGTGTCGCTTAAAAACAACTCGCAACGGCTCCCATCCTAAATCTCTAAACACTCGCGCCTTAGAACTGTGCATCATAGCGTCTGACACCGCTCTTGCAGCTTTGTATGGTGCTGACTCAAGTCGATCAAGATTTCTATCAGATGTATTTCCATATATCGCTGACGCGTAAGTGAACAAGTTTAAAACAAATGATTTGTACACTAGATCTAATGCTTGTCGAGATAACGCACGTGTATGAAGCTTTAGAAGACCAGTTAAACGACTTACTTTATTTAAAACATGATTTACGTGCGCTGTCCAGTCTAGATTTGACCTTAAAATTAAGCATAACTGTTTTTGTTCAACAACATAAGAGATAGGCGACTTATTGATCAAGACGGGTGGTAGCGAAGCGAGAGGCGAAGCGAGAGTATCGCGTTCACGAATAGAAAAAATCATAGCTTTACATTTATCAATATTTAAATACAATTTCCAAGTTATAGACCATTCGTAAATTAAGAGTAAATCTTTATTTACTTGGTCTGTAACTTTTCTAATATCGTTTTTCTCTGTAACGCGGTAGAGTGAAGCATCGTCAGGAAACAATCGCATTGTTGCACTAATATTATCACTAAGATCATCAATAAAAATCAAAAACAGTAACGGTCCCAAGACCGAGCCTTGAGACACTCCCCTATCAACGGTTCTTGCTGACGATGTAATACCGTCTACCGTGGTCACAATTTCTCTACTTGAGGGATAGCTTTCAAACCAATTCACTAAGGACGGTGGTAATCCTTTTGCTTTTAACTGCACTAGTAAACCCTTATGCCAATCGGTGTCAAAATTCAAAATCTAGAAAAACACTTAAGACTGGTTCACTATTATCAAAAGCTAATAAGATCTCATGAACTATGGCAATCAATTGCTTAATAGTAGAATCACCATACCTAAATCCTGACTGGTTCGTACTTAAAAAGTTGTAATTTGTTAGATATCCATACACTTTCCGATGAATCAAACGCTCAAGTATTTTTGACAAAACAGGCAGTAAGGTTATAGAACGATAATCATTCACTTCATGAGGATCGCCTGACTTAAAAATTGATGTAATATAGCCAAGTTTCCAAGTTTTAGAAAACTGTTCCAGTTCTGGAGATTGATTAAATAAATAGGTTCTGATCGGAGTTATGACAGGTGCAGCTTCTCTAATTATTCTCGCTGACAGACCAGGCGCACTCGCTCTACTCCAATCAATTCAATACAGTAATTCAAAAACTTCACTCTCAAAAATATGAAATTTCGTCATTGAGAATTTGCTAGGTGTTGGAACAACTAACGGCACGTCATTAACCGCATTAAGTGGCATTGAGCAAACCATCGCGAAATTTTATATGGTACCTCAAAGTCAGCTATGCATAAGATCATTTTTTCAACTAGCAGAACACTATTATCTAATCCTTCATCCTCAACTAGCTCATTCCAATCCAATTCTGCTAATTGGTCACGAAAAACATCCCAATTTGGTCTTCTATAATCATAGCTGTTGACTAATAGATCTACTGATGCAAGTTTTGAGAGAATACTGGTCATTTCAAAAGTTCCAGTGAATCCCACATTTCTTGGGATATTTTGCCAAAACGGCAACAAAAGTTTTATTCAACCAAAGGGTTGGGACATAAATAAGGCCTAGTCAATGGATGCTCTTCTTCATGTAGTGTATACACATTAGAAATTTTACTTTCAATGTCTTAGCCAGTCTGTCATACGCATCGGTGTACATATTTCCGAATTCTTGGTGCACGATTTGCTGAAAAATCAAAGTTGCCTAAAAGTTCCAAGACAAAGATTGTTCGACGCAGGTTTTAACGCTGATTCGAATCATGAGCTTGGTTATGAGAAAAAATTCTTGATTTCATTCTGGCTCAAGATTAAAGCGTAACCCAAAAGTGCATTTTCTTGATTTTGGTCGTATTTGGATCATAATGGATTGAGCCAATTATATGTTGAGTTTGTTTTCCGAATATTGTAGAGCTTCTCAAGAGATATTTTTCGATACTAAAGAGTAGTTGTATCCTCTTTTGCTCCGGGGAGAAAATGTGAAAATATAATCACCCAAGTATGGTCATTGCATAGAGATGGTCGAACCCTTTCTTCTTATAATATGGTACTTAGCTATGGTTGATGTACCATTTTGCTCACTTTTTCATTGACTATGTTTCTACATCAATCTTGATTTAATTTCATATTAGATTTGAACAGAATCGTTTTTGTTAAGCATTGTTATCCTTAATGCATCAACTTAGAAAAATTAATTCAAAAATTCTCTGAAAGTTTATGAACACTCAGTTAAAGTTAAAAATGTGTAAAATCGCGCTCCCTGTAAAATGTTATAAACAAAGTCGAAAAAACAGTGGGCCAAAAATCCAGGATTATTGGCCACCCTCTTTTATATTCCTAGTGAGTTGTACAACTGGATACATGTTTTGTACAACAGAAAAAAATTTATTGCCTTCGGCTTTAGAGGGTTTCTCAAAGCACTATTTTGAGCAATGCGCATTAAAATCACCTAATAGTAAGACACCAGAAAGAGATCGCAGAGAAATGATAGTAGATATAGAATCAGATAACAATTCCATGTATGTTTCAAATACATCTAGATGGAATTCCGCTCTATATAATAAAATGATTAAAATATTCCCGATAGCAGGTAAGATGGCAACAAAAAATATAGTTTCCAAATTGGAGCTATCAAAATCGTTTAACCTTTTGACCAACAATCATTGTGAAAGTAAATTCAACAGTCACCATTTCTCATTTCTCTATCAAATGATATAATGTATAGTTTAGTATAGATATACGCCTGGAAAAAAATAGTTGCACACAGTTTTTTCAAGATATTTTCCTTATGAAGATAGTCAAAAATAGTCCTATATTTTGATAGAGCTCGAAATTCTGTATCACCCAGTATATAAATGTCTGAGCTTGCACTTATTTGCTGGAAAATATTTCGAGTACAATGAAGACACCCTCATCCTCAGATTCTCACAAATTCCATTTTTTCTTCCTTTTTCATTCGTTTTTTAAAGTTATTATGAATATGGTGATACCTTTTTACAAAAGTAATTACATATTCTGAAAGTGCTTGAAATCCTCTATCATCCTGTACTTTACCTGTCTTAAAGTGCATTTGTTTGCCTATAAATTCTTCAAATATTTTCAATGTACCCACGTGCCACACTTCTAGGTATGGCATTCTATGATCTATCAAAATATTTTTCAAATTTTGTTGGAAATTAGGATGATATCTCTGTACATAGTGATTTATCCAAGACCACACACCCTTTATAATATTATCATCAGGTTTGACAAGTAGATAATAAACCATGTATCTTGTGTGGCTACTAGATAACCAATAATGTCTTTCTGTATGTGAAGGTGAGAGTATATTAAAAAAAATTGGAATATTAAAAGTATATAAAAAATGGAATTTGTGAGAATCTGAGAATGAGGGTGTCTTCATTGTACTCGAAATATTTTCCAGCAAATAAGTGCAAGCTCAGACATTTATATACTAGGTGATACAGAATTTCGAGCTCTATCAAAATATGGGATTATTTTTGAAAACGTATTTCTTCATAAGGAAAATATCTTGAAAAACTGTGTGCAACTATTTTTCTAAGCCGCCGCTTGGCACCTAAGGAAGAGTTTTATCAACAAAATGTCCTTCCATCGTGCTTCGTTGAGCCACAATCTGTGGTAAGGCTCTTAAAAAACACTAGTTTTCCGAAAAATCGACATTTCAAGAGAAAACAAAATTTTTGTTAACCGAACGTCATTCAAAGTTCGCAATACTTCCAGCGTATAGGCAGTTCGAGCTCGGAAGGTTTAAACGTGTCACCATATATGTAAGTCGACATTGACAACAAAGTGATGTTAAAAACCAGGGGGGTTCGTCTTCATTAACAGCGATCTAGATAAAGTTCATGAGGTCAGTAAACTGACAGTTACAGCTGAATGAGAATAAATGTGAATGTAACACATTTAATTATAATAGAATACCGCCGGAATTAGAGATAAACAAAGTTGTTTTAAAGGAAGTCAAAAAACACAACATCTAGTAGTTTTTCTCACCAAAAATCTGGACTGGAAATTTCATCAGAGAGTTTTATTCCTGAATAGTTTTTTTTAATATGTTTCTTAAAAATGTGAAAAAGTGTTAAGTTTAGTGAAAACATTCAAAAGAACATTCAGCACATCGACACTGAATCAAATGTATAACTACTGCATGTTGTATGCATATAAATAAAAATAATATGCGTTTTTTCGATCAGTACAATATAAAGTTTCACTTATAGTATCAGGAGCATTACGTTTATCTACTCAGCGTAAAGTTCGAGATATTTTAGGATGGACAACATTTGAGAATACATTTAACACCTTGCATTTAAAACCAATGCATAAGATTGTCACTCATCAAGCATCGACATTTTTATGAAAAAACATTCAACCAATGCACATTCGAAATTATCACAGTCGATCTAATAATTTGTATAAAGTAAATCAAATATTCGGTAAAACAACCAATTATCAGTCCTCTTTCTTTCTAAGAATCATCAGAATTTGGAACACAATCGACGTTGATCTGCGAAAAACCATAAAAGCTAAAGAATTTAACGAGAAGATAAAGTATTTTAGGATCAGTAAAAATAGCAGAGTACACAAAGTTATTGCCACTTATAAAAATAATTAGAATTGCCGACATTGCTTTCCATCAGATGAGAGTAGATTTTTCAACATTAGGATATAATTTGTATAGAAGAGGGCTAATCAAAGACGAGTAAGCAAGTTTATGTAGCTGTAAACAGCAAGCGACAGCCGAACACTATTTTCTACAACGCCTGAACTATGTTTTAGCCAGAAAAGAACCTTTTAACAACTGTCTCATCATGATCCAAAAGCACACAGTGACTTATATACATTATTACTTAGAAGGCAATTTGAATCAAGCTTCTTCAAAGATCTTTACTACATCGTTACAAAGTACATACAAAAAACAAAGCGTTTCGGAGTGAAAAAATAGACAATGATCAATATTTGTCTGCATTGATCACCATTCCCTCTCTTACATTTCTCCACTGCATCTATTCACTGCTCATACAGGCTTCTTTTTCTGCTTTTACCTTGATTTCATCTTTTGTTGTTTTGTTATGGAAGAGGGTAACACCTTGTAAAATAACTCCTCGAACTATGTAATGGCAATTTGCCGCTTTAGTCGGAGAGTTATTAGGATTTCTTCATCTTTAAAATAAATATAGTTTAAACTAAATACATATAGAAACAGCCCAGTGTACCAACCATGCTTGATAGCAGTCAATATACAGCAGTCAATATATATCTATGCGTATTATGTTCATACGAGAAAAATATGACTATTAAAAGCAGAGAATAATGAACGCAATTTTTTTCGTTCTTTTGACCAATGCAAAATGCTACTAAACATACTATTTTTCTATCACATTTTTTAAGTACAAGCTGACCGAACTCGATAAAACTATCTCACTCTTACCGAACAGGTCCAGATTGAATTAAGCGGTTGATAAGTCTTGACGACTAACGGACCAGAATCGATTCCTCTGTCGGGATGCATCTCCGAACCGAAGGTCTGAACTACTGAGTTTTTACTAGAAGTATATATTTGTAGATGTAACTGTAGCTGTCAAACGATGAAAACGTAGAAACATTCACCCGACTACCCGTAGAGCAACGCAAAATAGGAGCAGGATACGATATTTCACAAACAAGATTAAAAAATTTCTCTACCTTCAGCAAAGAAGGAGCAATACATAAATACGCAATACCTTAAAAAAACAAGAAATGCTGTCCGATACAATTTTCTCCGGTATCATTTATGATTTTAACCGGCGGTACCAGTTATCGTTTCTGCACTATTTGTTTCCTTTTATTTGTTACCAACATACAGTGGATAAATCAAGTACAGATGACTTCGTTTCAAGCAGATTAATGTGCAGAAATAAACGAAAAAGTGTCAAAAATAATGTTATGCATGGCTGTTTGTGTACTCACTGGCAAGGTGAGAACACCGAAGAGAAAACGAAGGACGGAACAATCACTAGTTGTCAATCATGACCAGATCAAGATAGATTGTAAGTTTCGTTGACAGATATTTTCACAGATAACTACAAATTGAACGACGTAACTTGTATGATAAGAATGAAAGAATATATCTTACATCTTTATCTCACATTAATACAAACGCATCATGCGACGATCGATTTCATTGAGAACGGTATATTTTTTTTAATTTTTTTTGCCGTGGTGATTTGCATGAAAAAACTGCCTCCTCTGACAAAGGTAATTTTTTTACCTTTGTTCAGAAATCACTGTCTTCCAACCCTAAAAATCAGTTCATAATAGCAATAATACTTTATATATATCTGGAAACGATTGTTCCATCAATTCCAAACAAATTGAGGGCTCAACAGGCGTATAATTCCAGTTTATTTGGCTAAAAACTGAAAAAACCAGAAAAAACGGCGTATATTGTTCTCAATGTAGGCTAATTTGTTTTATGACGAGTTTTTGATCCAATGAGTTATATATACAGATCGACGTAGTTTTGCATGCTCTATCCGAATATGACCTTGAAACTTAAAAAAAGTTGCGGTAAATGGTGAAAGTTGGAAAAAACCTGATAAATCAGGTTATTTTCATTTTTTCGGTGTCGATCTGTATATATAACTCATTGGATCAAAAACTCGTCATAAAACAAATTAGCCTACATTGAGAACAATATACGCCGTTTTTTCTGGTTTTTTCAGTTTTTAGTCAAATAAACTGGAATTATACGCCTGTTGAGCCCTCAATTTGTTTGGAATTGATGGAACAATCGTTAACAACAAATACATACTTTGCCCAATATAGCTTCCCGATTGCGTAACATTTCTTGTCAGATACGCGTTTGTTTATCATTGCTGACTAAGAAGAATATTTGTTTTTAAGCATTGTTTTGTGCAGTTCGACGTTTATCATTCTTATACTCTCAGTTGACTGACTGTGCGTAATATATACTCAGTTTTAGGGGCGGATAACCCAGTAATTCCCGAAAACAGATATTCCCAAACACGCGAGATTAGCTTAATATACGAGACATTAGTACACTATATGTAACCAGACGGGTATAGCGAGCATTGAAAGCGAGAATGAGCCACTTGACACTGTTTCCTATATGCTACTGTTTTGTGTAATAGTCTAGTATCATGTTCAGTATGCTAATACCTCGTGTGGTACAGTCATAGTGGCATAGCACTATCTCGCGTGTTTTGCTGATGGCTATTTTTGTATAATGTCGGGCATCGCTCGCATGAGCACAGCATTTCTTCATTGTGTAATTCAACATTCCAGTGCACCTTCCTAGTAACGGCTGTTTGATGAAGACTAGCAGTAATAACAGATTTATAAAAATAATATCAGGCGTAACAACAGATACTTTAGATCATTTAGGTCAGCATTACGAACAATTAAAGTCTCAATGCCTGTTTAGGAATTTCTGCCATCACCGATTGCACACTACCATCACATAAACACTTTATAGCAATTTCTGGTCTTTTCCCATTGTATTAACAAGCACGAGTATACTGAATAAACGATTAAAATAAAAAAATAAGTAGTGATTTGTGAAGTGAAGAGCTTTTCGGTACTGAAATCGCATTTTCTCTCCTTCTCTGTTTTCGACAAGATTCAGGGGTAAACTTAGTTGAAATTTTTTAAGCCCATTTTTGAAGAAAATTTACGTTGTACGAAAACGAACGGTCGATTGAATGTTGTTACGCGTCTAGTTCTGGTGGTTGTGTGACCGATTGTTGTCCTCGTTGTACAAGTGTGCTGCCGCAATTTCGATGATTTTCTTAACAGCGGCTTTGACCTTTAATTTATTAGCCATTTTCTTTTTGTATTATCGAAGTTTCATCTGATGACAACGTTAAAAAAGTTCTCTCTTTATCTAAGTTTTACCCATTGATGTACAATAGTAACGTCTACTTGACTGTAAAATAAGTCATAGAAACATTTAAAATTACTTTTCATCACGCAAATCAATCATTTGCTTGTGAGTTTGGATTTCAGAACAAAAGAGTTTCGTTCTACGAAAAAATCGCAGTGATCCATCAGAGAAAATGCAACTTTTTCTAATCGTACAGGCCTCGCATTCAACAGTGTTTATTAAATACATTAAAT